CGAGGGTCCAAAGCAATAAACAGGGGTGCGTTTGCTGACAGCGAGTCAAAAGCACTCTCACTCCGGGAGGACGTTTAATCTAAGCCAAAGACTGCCTTAAGGTGAGCTGAAGGAAACGAGGGAGGAAGCGCACTCTTTTGTTTATCAGTTTATTCTGGCGGGGGGAACGAGGGAATATTCTTCCTGTCAAAACGTCTGCTTCGCTCTCTCTCCGCCAGACATGCAAATGATCTGGAGCGCATCACAATGCGTCCTGAGTGCTTTCACCTCCCCTGTGCTCGTTAAGCATGTGTGTGCGTACCTCATCTCACCTCTGCAAAGGTAGCTGGATTTCAGGGTTTAATCATTTGGGCCGCGTCCCTGCCCGCTCGCATTAAAAGTCCGAGCTGAATATTTGATTTGCTTCGTAATCAGCTGAGCCGCTGAGAGATGAATGTAAGATGAGCCTTTGCCCTTTCTGAATGACCGCCCACTTTATACAATCGGACACACACAGGGATAAAAACCTCTTACAGAAGCGGATTCCTGTCACAACGTCGCCGACACAAAGCTGACCCGTCCAACAGATGGCTTCGTACGCTGAAAAAAGTGAGGCACTGAATTTACTTTGATTCAAATGAATACGTTTTTATGGCAGAATTATTAAGAGAGACGCTCAGTCTACTCACCGACGGCCTGCTGACAGTTTGCGCCGGTGGGGATGGCCAATTTAGCGGATTATCTGCTAAGAACTTCCATGCAAATGAACACAGCCATGAGCAATCACCACTGCAGTGCTGTCCTCCTGCAGTTCACAGCAGCGTCAGGTCCAATACAGCTTCAAATACCAGACTTTTCATTGTCATAAAACTTTCGGCCTAATAGACAGAATGAAGCACTACCTGCTGTAAATGCAGTGTTTAAAGGGAAAAGGCAATTTGAAGCAGTTTGGATGGCAAGTTTTAGTAAGTTACAGAAGACTTTTGAAACTTTCTAAAACTTTAGCTGGATCAGCGATGCAGCATATGTACTGTATCAGTGGTGCCCAACTCCGGTCCTGAAGGGCTGGTGTCCGGTAACAGTTTGGTAGTTCACTTGCTAAACCTGGACACTAACAGATTCAGCTATGTTTGAGCAGAAAAGTCACCAAACTGTGCTGGACACCACCCCCCAGGACCGGAGTTGGGCACCCCTGTGCTATATAAACTACTGACTAACTAGCTGTTTCAAGTTCTTTTGCCTCTTTCCTGAAACACTGCATTTACTGTGTTCATAGCTTCTGTTCTTCTGAACTTCAGGCTATTTTCCTGTAAGCCTTGTTAATTTGAAGACTATGTCAAACCTGACAGATTTTAGTACAGGCAAGTAGACTTCTGCGCAGTGCAACACCTGTAGCTAATAGCGAGACATAAGCCCTGTTCGAGCTGGATTAGTTGTACCAGAGGAGGTCCAGTAATGTCATGTGTAAAGGACTCAACTGGCCAGTTTCGTGCAGGATAAAGTATTTTCCAGAATTACCTCAGATAACCCGGATCGAAATGTCACAGCTCGGACATTCACTCCAGTGATAAGATTAGAGTTAAATGGATCCAAACAAACAACAGTGAACTTTCAGTTAATGCTAGATAGAATAGCATTAGGCTCGTAAAGTATCCACATAACAATTAACAGTTGACGATTAGACCATCAGCAAAAATGATGTAGATTACAGTAGGCCTGTTTTGGCGAGAAAGGATCTGTGCCAAGAGCTCCATTTTTGCAGTTAGCCTTGCTCCCTGGCAAAAAAACAAAGGTGCCATTGTCTATTACTAGGTTTTGGTATTATATCACCAAGAGGTCAATTTGAACAGGACTGCTATTACTGAAGGAGCTCCAAGTTTGGAAAATTGTAGAAGGTATTTTGCTCGAGAATTATTACACAGCACACATGTAAAAACTACAGACATTGCAGATTTGTATTGGTTTAAAATTACAGATTTCATTGGTAATCAGTGTAATTAAAGCATCTCCCCAGGTAAAAATAATCCAGCTCAGAAACGGCTTAAGCTCCAAATATCTACTAAAGACACAAGACTCGACTCACACTTGCAATCCAGAGGCATGGATTTGCACCTCAGAGACTTGGACCTCAAAGACTTGAGGCTCGATTCGGACCCGAAAGATTCGAGATTCCACTCGGATCCCAGGGACTCAACTCAGACCCCAGAGACTCAAGACTCAACTCGGACCCCAGAGACTCAAGATTCCACTTGGACCCATGAGACTGAAGACTCAGCTCGGACCCCAGAGACTCAAGATTCCGCTTGGAGCCATGAGACTGAAGACTCAGCTCGGACCCCAGAGTCTCAAGACTCCACACAGACCCATGAAACTGGAGAATGAACTTGGACCACAGAAACTCAAGACTCCGCTTGGACCCATTAGAATGGATACTCAACTCAGACCACAGAGACTGAAGACTCCGCTCGGACCCCAGAGACTCAAGATTCCACTTGGACCCATGAAACTGGAGACTCAACTCGGACACCAGAGACCTAAGATTCCACTCGGACCCATGAGACTGGAGAGTCATCTCAAACCCCAGAGACTTGAGACTCAACTTGGACCCAAGAGACTTAAGATTTGACTCAGATCCCAGAGAGTTGAGACCCCAGAGACTTGACTTGGACCGTAGAGACTCAAGATTTGACACAACTAACCCCGCCGTGTGGAGGCTCTGCTTTAGCCTGGCTTGCTCTTACTCTCAGTTGTTTACATGCTTTAAAAATGGTGTTACATTGCAGCCACTGACAAGACACAAAATAATATAGGTGTGAATTCTGTGACTAATACACACAAGTCAGTAATAGAAAATAGCTACTTTTATGGTATCTTCAGGGTGAATCTGGAGAAATATCTGATTGTCTGATGTCTGACAATCAGAATGTCTGATTCTTCTGAAAACTCACAGGTGAAGTTACCATGAAAATGCAAAAAGATAACTGAAACCTTCTTCTACTTGGACATGTTTAAACACATAAAAATTCAGTGTTAACTTTAAAGCAAGTTTGCGTCCCACATTCCCCTACGTCATATTCACACGAACAGTAATGAAAGTATATTATACCAACACTGTTATTGTTCAAAATAAGAAAACAGAAAGGCAAAATGACTTTAACATCATATATATTATTTGTGTGGAAATGATGTACACATTTTAACCCAGTCATTTCAGTTATTTTTTCAGTGTATAAACAGAGGGAGAATGAGAGAGAGAGAGAGAGAGAGAGAGAGAGAGAGAAAGAGAGCGAGAGAAAGAGAGAGAGAGAGAGAGAGAGAGAGAGAGAGAGAGAGCGCATATTACTTGCTCGGTTAGTAAACACACCAGACAATTTGCTTAGAGAATTCGGAGACTTGACCTTTTAAATAAATGCTTCCCTCTCTTAATGCGGAGTGTAATTGACTGTAGCAGTAATATCTAAATGTCAGCTGGAATGCGTGAAACGTGTGATCTCACGCTCAGTTGTTGCACTATGATGATGCCAGGTTTCAAACAAATACTGTAAGTGTGTGGGCTTTCTGGAAGCATGTTTTGTGTGTGTGTGATCACAGTCATCGCAGAAGATTCTTCCTACGAGTGTATGACTCCTCACCCCACATATTGATTCAAGTGTTTATCTTAATGCGTGTGACATTATGTCCTACGGTGTGAGCAAAATATTCAGGGGGTAAAAGGGCAATTAATAAAGTAATATTTTGTATCCTATGCTATGACTAAAATATTTGGTGTTAAAAAACACAGTCAATGTAATAATATTTAATGTCCTGTGGTGTGACTAAAATATTCAGGGGGTAAAAAACAATTGATGTAATATTTGATATCTTGTGGTGTGACCAAATATTCAGGGAGTAAATGGGGCAATTAATATAGTCATATTTTGTCTTATGTCTTATGGTGTGACCAAAGTATTAAGAGTGTTAAAAACACAATTCATGTATTAGTATAAAATGTTCTTTGTTGTGAACAAAATATTCAGTGGGTAAAAACAATGTAGTAATATGGTGTCACCAAAGTATTCAGAAGGGAAAAAACTATAAATGTAATAACATTTAATGTACAATGGTGTGACCAAAATATTCGGGGGTAAAAAAAAAACAATTGATGTTATATTTGATGTCTTGTTGTGTCACCAAAATATTCAGAGAGTAAAAAGGGCAATTAATATTGTAATATTTTGTATCTTGTGCTGTGACTAAAATATTTGGGGGTAAAAAAAAACATAGTTAATGTAATAATATTTAATGTCTTGTGGTGTGACCAAAATATTCAGGGGGTAAAAAACAATTGATGTAATATCTGATGTCTTGTGGTGTCACCAAAGTATGAAAAGGGTTAAAAAACAATTAATGTATTAGTATTTATTGTTCTTTGGAGGGACCAAAATATTGAGGGGGTAAAAAAGAAATATGTAATAATATTTAATGTCCTTTGGTGAGACCAGAACCTTCAGGGAAGAAAAACAAATAATGTAATAATATTTTAGATACCAACTATAATATTAATCTTGCTGTGTGTAGTTAAAAGCAGTTTCTCACAGATGTGTGCAAATATAGAGAAATACACAAGGCTAATGTCGGAAACTATCAAGTAAACATATTTCTGAAAAATCATGCATAAGCTATAAACTTAATGTACCAGACTGTCCAATAACTAAATGGGTTAATCTAAAAAATCAGACTCTTAAATCCAATCAGATTTTTAATAAAACTTTTTCATAAAGCCCACACCACAGGAAAATTCTTTGCCATATGGTTAAAGAACTATTGGAAATTGAAAGTAAAGATCGTAGTATTATTTTAACTTTTATTGAAGTGCACTTTCTAAAAGATGAAGATCAAACTGATTAGTTAACAAAATACAGAAGTTTGAAAATAATGCCGCGTCGGCCTCTGTGTGAAACTGGCATGTCTAACGGAATGCAGGCCGTACGTCAACATATATGAATATATGTTTGTATCGATTTCCGTTTGTTTGTGTGCAGGTAAAGGGGACGTGTTTGGTGATGTGTTCTGGAAGGAGGTGACTCTGGCGCAGTCCTGCGCGAACGTCCGGGCGCTGACCTACTGTGACCTGCACGTCATCAAGCGGGACGCCCTGCTGAAAGTGCTGGAGTTCTACACGGCCTTCTCCAATCACTTCTCCCGCAACCTGCTGCTCACATACAACCTCCGCAAACGCGTGAGTCACACACCTGTGTGTGTGTGTGTGTGTGTGTGTGTGTGTGTGTGTGTGTCTGTTTGAATTCTCACACTCGCTCTGAATACCATTGAAAAGTTTGGAATCATTGCATTTTCAATATAAAACAATATGTATGAAAATATTCTAATATACTGCAGGTAAACTATAACTTCACACAAAAAAACAAACATTCTCTGCCCTTGAGGACGGACGCTTGTGTTCTCCACAACTCTCTCTCTTTTTCTCTCTCTCTTTCACACACACACACTGCCCATCACTGACACAAAAGTCAAAAGCTCCAGAGTTCTGAGGCTGTAGGAGGTTTTGGTTGGGTAGCCGTGTGTGCGTGGGTGCGTTGTGTTCGGAGGTCCGCATTTACATTTATCTGTAAGTAACATGTATTTGTGGGGAGCAACACCAGATAAAAAGTCTGTTTAAAATAACTGAACATAAAATAATTATGCCATAACCTTTGTACAGGTCAAATTTTGTACAGATCTATTTTTCCCCAATATACAGTATTTACAGTAATTATGCATTAAAATGTGCAGAAGTGTGCTCTCTGTAGAGGTCATTATCTTATTTTCACTTTAAAAATCCCTCAAAGCATGCAGGTTGACCAGGGGCTCCCAAACCTTTGCAAACAACTGTACAGGTGTCTCAAGCTGAAAGATCCTAGTTAAAAACAAGCATGCTTGTATGGGATCAATAGGACCTTGCCTGCCTTTGGCCAGGAGGCAAATCGGTCACACTGTGGTCAGCCATGTCAGGGTTTGTAAAGATAGGGATATTTGGAGGTAGGTCAGATTTGTATCATAATAGTGGCAGATTTCTGATCAGTTAACTTAGTCAGTCAGTCACTCACTCACTCACTTACTCACTCATTCACTGATTCACTTACTCAGTCACTCACTCACTCACTCACTCAGACACTCAGTCAGTCACTCACTTACTCATTCACTGATTCACTTAGTCAGTCAGTCACTCACTCATTCACTGACTCACTCACTCAGTCAGTCACTCACTTACTCATTCACTGAGTCACTTACTCACTCAGTCAGTCAGTCACTCATTCACTGACTCAGTCACTCAGTCAGTCACTCACTCACTGACTCATTTACAGACTCACTCAACCTTTCACTCACTCAGTCATTCACCTAGTTAGTCACTCACTCATTCCTTCACTGACACAGTCAGTCACTCAGTCGTTTCCTCACTGACTCTGTCACGCACTCACTTACTCACTCATTCACTGACTCATTTACAGACTCACTCAACCATTCACTCACTCAGTCATTCACTCACTCAGTCATTCACCTAGTTAGTCACTCACTCATTCCTTCACTGACTCACTCAGTCAATCACTCACTCGTTCACTCACTCACTCACTCATTCACTCACTCATTCAGTCACTCAGTCACTCATTCATTCACTCAACCATACACTCAGTCAGTCACTCAGTCATTCACTCAGCGATTCACTCAGTCATTCACTCACTCAGTCACTCGCTCACTCACTCAGTCATTCAGTCAGTCAGTCAGTCACTCACTCACTCTGCTAGCACGCTGCTAGCACTCAGATAGCTTTTGCCTCTTCATAAGAGTGGTGCTTCACATCAGTGAAACTGTGCGTCCTTTAGTAATTATCCCAGAGCTGAATTAGCTGCATCATGCTGTCTTGTATGGAAGTCATTCTAGAGCGTGAATTTCCTAGATCGTCTGATGTGAAGGAACATTCAGCTTGCTGGGGAAACGCCAACTCTGCTGAATCTGGTTAGATTTCCTCCACACTGAACAGACTTTACTAGAAACAGTGCGTGATGCCTTCTCTCTCTCTGCCGTGCCAACCTTTATCTGAGCTGCCTCTTATCTGAGCAGCCTCTTATCTGAGCTGCCTCTTATCTTGTCTTACCCCAGTGATTGACACATGGAAGACTGAATGTAAGAAGCAGCGAGTTGTGCTGAAATTCCTCTTTTGCAATTTCTCTGTCTTCACATTTCTAGAAGGAACAGTTGGGCGAAAAATGTGCAAAACGTCCCGTTTATTCCAGCAGTTAGTCGATCAGCCGAGGCGTGTTTGGTGAAGCTTACCTCTTTAGTTTTACACTGGAGGCGTGAGGCTAATGTAGCTAACAATGATTGAATAATGAAGTCATGCTTCATTCTGTAGTCAGCGTCATTCACATACACAGAATTTAGCTTCTGAGTTTTTCTCTATGGGAAAAATGAATGGGATTTTCGAAAGCCAGTATGTTTTGTACTGTATACGTTTTCCCTCTTAGTCCAGTGATATTCCGAAGAAATACTGTATGTATACTGTATATACGGCAAAACATAACACGTTTGTTTAGCACAGGGTGCAGTAGCAGCTATTTATGAAAAGGCTATTCATTTTTTCCATAGAGAAATCTGCTTAGACCTCCTCTGAGTTCCTAATATGACATCGACTACCGAACTTGACTTCAGAGGTCTACAGCCTCCTGAGCCTAAGTGTCTATTAGACTTGCATATGTGGTTTTTGGAACTGTATGACAGACTGTTAACTATAAAACACTCTTAAAAAGTTGGTTCTTCAGGGGTTCTATAGTTAAGACAATGGTATAGGACTTTGAAGACTTAAAGAACAACTTGCTTGCTTAAATGGTTCTTTGCATGGTGAAATGGTTGATTGATGGAGAATGTGTTGCAGGTTGTATATAGAACCTTTTTAAAAATGGTTCTATATCACACCAAGAAGGTTGTTACGATGTCAAACTTGTAAAAATAGCAGAACCTTTTTTTTTTTGCTATATAGAACCATGTACCACACTTTCTCAATCAATCTGAAGAACCCGTGTTTTTACTGAAGAACCCTCGAAGAACCATTTTTGTTGAGGATTTAAGATGCTGCTACTGTTTTTGGATATGGAATAAACATTTGTCCAATTTTATACATAAACATTTATGCCATTTCATAGACACTCTTATTCAAAATGACTTAACATTTTAATCACAGTGAAGCGAATTTAGTGTTGGGAGTCTTGCCCAAGGACTCTTATTGGTATATTGTGTGGAAGTAATATAAAAGTTGGGAATCAGTTCTACAGTTATTGTGTAAATTAGATTTTTGGTCTGAAAAGTAGATTCAGGCACGTTTTATCAGTGCATTTGTACGTACCAGGCTGTCCTGTACTGGGCAGTGCATTATTAAGGCTACGTTCACACAGCAGCTAATAGTGGCCCAAATCTGATTTTCCCACAAAATCTGAATTTTTTGTTTGGCTGTTCACACTATCTTTTAAATGTGACGTATATGTGACATCCGTCTGAAAAGATCAGCTCCTAAACTGACCCTCATGCTCAAAACAACAATGCTTCACGTGGCTCATCCAGAGGTAAACAATCATAACTGCCAATGAACGCCAGCCGCTCCCGGAGCGTTCAGTTTCATCTTCACCAGCAACACAGGAGCCATCATGAAGCTTCACTGATTGACAGCTGGGCTCATCACCCAGAATGTGTTTGAGCTCACCTTAAAAAGGGCGCGGTCACTTCTTTGGTTTGTGTCCTTCGATTCTTTAAACTTGTAACTTTTCTTTGATGCTGCAGCCTCGTTCTCCTACGGCGGCTTTCGGCCATTTCTTTCGTAATCTCTTTAAACTTGTAACTTTTCTTTGATGCTGCAGCCTCGTTCTCCTACGGCGGCTTTCGGCCATTTCTTTCGTAATCTCTTTGAACGTGGGGGTGTTTTGGATACGTCTCGTCTAATTTTGGGACAGAAACATCACCCCAGAAGTTTATGAGGTCCCAGCAGCATGAAATTATGACCAACATAGAGCTGGATTGACGTGAAAGTCGCATGGATTCCGATCTGGCTGTTCAGACTGAGTCACATTGCCGCAAATCGGATACGTATCGGATTTCAGTACCACATATAAAAGTGTCTCAAATCAGAATTGAAAAAGTCAGATTCAGTGTGTTTAATCTGTTCACACTGACACACAGACACATCTGAAACACATATGAAGAAAAAGATCAGATTTGGGCCACTTTTACCTGCTGTGTGAAAAAAGCTTAAGAGGGGTGATCTGGGTTCCTCCTTCCTCCCATTATACTCTCAAGTGACAGATTTCACCCCACAACTGAAACTGCTCTAGTTTGCTAAACCTCGAAGGCATTGCATTAGTGAGCCGGATGACATTAACAGCGACATTTTGTTTCTCGAGCTGGACATCGCTACTAACAAAGACGTGATTCGTAAGGAACCCCAGCGTGCAGCCCTGCACAGTAATGCTGGCCCTTATCGATTGCTGTGCTGAAAGTAGGTCTCAGATTGTTGCTATTATTAGAGCAGGGAATGATTGGCTCGTCCCAGTGTGGATGACAGAAAGAGAAGCACCACGGAGCAGCGCATGGCCCATGGGCTGACACTCACACTGCCACAGCACTGAGCGCCTGCTCTGATACGCCTGACAGTTTCTGTCCAGAATGACACGTTGATGACACTTTTGTTTTGACCCTTTGACACAAGGGCCCTTCACTGTTCTTTGAGTCTAACTGGATGTTTCTAGCCTATTATTTATTCTTTTATCAGCTCCATTTACCACCAATTACAGACTGTAGTCCATCTGTTTCTCTGCATACATTCTTCAGTGGTCAGGACCCCCATGGACCCTCACAGAGCAGGTATTATTTGGGTGGTGGGTCATTCTCAGCACTGCAGTAACACCGACATGGTGGTGGTGGTGTGTTAGTGTGTGTTGCGCTGGTCTGAGTGGATCAGACACAGCAGTGCTGCTGGAGTTTTTAAACACCTCAGTGTCACTGCTGGACTGAGAATAGTCCACCAACCAAAATATCCAGCCTACAGCATCCTGTGACCACTGATGAAGGACTAGAGGATGACCAACACAAACTGCAGCAACAGATGAGCCATCGTCTCTGACTTTGCCTCTACAAGATAGACCAACAAGGTAGGAGTGTCGAATAGAGTGGACAGTGAGTGGACACAGTGTTTAAAAA